CCACATTTCAATCTCATACACAGTCTACGGTGCGCATTTTTTTATCCCTACAAAATCGCACTTCTTCGATTAGTTTTCGCAAACTTCCTTCCTCCCCCCCTAACACTCTTAATTTATAGCTACAAAAGAATCCTCAAAACAATCATAAGTAAGTGAGAAAGTCGCTTTGTATCACTGTACTTCTTTTTCTTTTTAATTTTTCTGTTGAAGCGGGTTTTCATTTATTTTCAAAAATTTTCTCCGTTTGGAGAATCCGGGCCCAGTTTTCTTAGTTTTTGTATATGAAGCACTAAAGGGTATCATTCCGTCATCCTAACAAGATTTTTAATGTTTGTACTACTTTGCTAAAAAGTATTTTTCTTTTCAACAATGCGGTAGTATCCCTAGGAATGTTATTATGTATATTGTTTGTCTTGTTCGCTTTGTTTCCGTTCAATTGGCTCTCTTTTGCCTTTGCTGTAAAACTTGTCTTTTCTGAGGAACAAGCCCGGAAGTTACTGTGCCTTACCAATTTGAATTACAGGGCATCTGAACTGAAAATATCATCACTAGCTATAAACAAATCGGGAGACTGGTTAGCAATTGCTTGTGGGAAAGGAAGCGATGGACAACTGATCGTTTGGGAATGGCAAAGTGAAACATACGTGATGAAGCAGCAGTCACATAGCCAGTCGATTATGGCGGTAGCTTATTCTCCGGATGGGTCTCAAATTGCCACTGGAGCCGAGGACGGAAAGGTTCTTGCAATTTTTCATTGAAAAAGATGATATGTTAAGCTTTCAGCAGTTTCTTATCTACTTAAGGAATCAGATTAAAAATTTCACTTTGATTTATGCTAGAGCCACCTCAGTAAGCAGAACTAAGCAAGCAACCAAGTGAGATCAGAGGATTTTATTTAAACAACTGAATGAATTTACAATTTTTCGATAATGTAATTGCCAGTAACTAAGCTAAATGCTTGTTTTCAAGTTTCTGTTTTTTCTAATGTGACTGCACGAATTTCTTTGTTGCATATCTGTTATTAGGTTCAGAATGATTTCGTGCATGTGTCATTCTGCATGTTTTAGCTGAAGATTTGGTCCTGTCGAACTTCGTTTTGTGTTGTCACATTTACGGAGCATAGTAGTGGAGTGAGTTCGGTTTGTTGGACTTCTGATGGCAAAGCAGTTCTCTCTTCATCTTTGGATGGTACTGTACGTGCACATGACTTAGTTAGGTATGTGAATTAAAATTTCAGTTTTTCCAGTTTCATTATCAAAATTGATGAATGAGATGTTGTCATGTTAATCTGTATTTTCCTAGTTGTCATTGTTCCCAAAACATTCGAGTTGCACCTTTTTTTTTCAGATATCGCAATTTTCGGACGTTAGTGTGCCCTGATAAGACGCAGCTTGGTTCTCTGGCTGTTGATTCTTCTGCCGAGCTCGTTATTGCAAGTTCGATTGAAAATTTCAACATCTACGTTTGGAGCCTTGAAAATGCGAAGTTACTGGATATTTTGTCCGGACATACAGCTCCAGTCGCTGCTATATCTGTTCAGGGTTTGTATCTTTTCCGTAATGATGATTTTTAGCAGTAAAATTATCGTTATCTGTTGAAGTGTCTAACTGTAAGATCAATCGTGTAGTTCTATCGGATCTAAAGAATCCCAATTTTCCTTCTTAATTTTATATTTAGCCTTTAGATGTAACAAGTTTGGTAATTCTGTTAATGTTTCAGCAGAAGAACTATGTTATAGTATTATACGTTGTTTGCGGGGGCAACAGTGCTTATTAATCACTTCATTAATTTTTAGGCAATAGCCTGGCCTCAGCATCCTGGGACAAAACGCTGCGTATATGGAACGTCGTTGAAGCGTCAACTGCTGAAACCATCGATTTGCTTGATGAAGCGCTTGACGTCGCTTATTCACCCAGCGGAGAATTACTGGCTGTAAACATGCTTTTATGAATTAATCCAATTCGTATTGTTTGTTTTTTCGTTCCAAGTTAAAAAATACAGAAAAATCTTTCTTAAGAAGCTCGCTGCTGTAACTTTCAGGTGTTATGCTTGGATTCTTCAATAAGCATTTTCGAGACGCAAACATCGTCGCAACTTGGTACCATCGATACGGCGCTTGATGTCGATGCAGCTCGTCGAGCTACCGATCTTATTAAAAAGAAAACGAGTGAAAAAAGCAGGTAACTGAAATTTTAGCTTGGATTTGCAAATATCGATTTATAATCCGCCGGGCAATTTGATCAAGCAGCCATTGACCGAAGAGAAGAACTTCAGTGTCGTGGCTGCATTTTTGATAGGGAAAGCCATACTGGGATTTATGGTGCAGCAAAAACTCCGAAAACCGGAATTTTTCACCAGCTTATTACTTTATCCAACAGTTTGTTTCATTTGTTCCCTATTGCTGTTTTATTGATGGAGCTATGGTACCTTTTTTTTGCAATTTTGGATGTCTCAAATTATTTCCAGGACTTTCACGTGCATATGTTTTTCTGCTGATGGCACGCTACTGCTTGCTGCTGGGCAGTCAAATTATATATGTATATACAGTGTGGCGGAGCGATTTATTGTAAAAAAATTAAAATTGACAGCGAACCGTAGTCTAGACGGAGTTACGGTACGTGGTAATTTAAATCTCGGAATTTTTTCCATTTTTTTTACACTGTCCTCTTGATTTTCTTAATCTTTTGGACGGAAATGCTTTATTTTAGATGGATATAAATCGACGTAATTTCTCGGAATTTGGCAATATGATGTTGATCGATGCTTCGGACAGCGAGGATGAGGCGAATGGCAAGAAAAGTGTGAAGCTTCCGGGAACACGCCATTCCGACCTTGCCGAGCGGCGTTTCCGGCCGGAAATTCGCGTTCACGATATCAGTTTCTCGCCGACTGGTGACAACCCATTTATTCTTTTTTTCGGAAGAGTGGAATGTAGTTCTGAAAAAATTATAATTACAAGAGCGTAAAAAGGGAGAAATTGGGAAATCGTAATCTTGATGGACGGATGAATGAATGTAAACTGAATGATCTATCCTTTCTGTTGTAATATTTGTCATGTGTTATTGATTGCTGTTACCAG